TGATTAGATGTCCTTGTTTGTTTCCTCTCTGTTGTTGTGCTGTTGCAATTTTAGAGTTTTTTAATACTGGTAGCCAGAGAATAAAGATGAAGATCCATGCAGAGGCAAAGTGTTCTTGCCAGACATCAAGGGAACCACTGAACGCAGAGGGAAGCTGATGAGGAAACACAACATACAAACTACCTACAGACCCACCAAGAAAATCCAACCAATGCTCCGTTCAGCTGTGGACAAGTCTACAGAGAGACCACCAAACGCAACAGCCTTGCCCAGACATGAATCCAGGAACATGAAAGGCACTGCAGACTACTTCAACCAGAGAAGTCAGCCATAGCAGAGCGCCCGATGAACCAACCTGGACACAGCATTTTATTTGAGAACACAGAAATGCTGGACCACACCAACAACCACCATGTCAGACTACACAGAGAAGCCATTGAAATCCATTGTGTTGTGTGTTGAGGCCTCGGCCTGTGTAAGCCGAATCGAATCCTTCGGGAGATGCTAGCGGGGTACAAATAAAGTTTAATAATAATAATAAAAAATAATAACAGTAGTGATTAGCATCAACAGAAAGGAAGAAACCATGAAAATGAACAAAATCTGGCTACCAGTATAAAAACTCAAAAATTACAACAGCAAAACAACAGAGTAAACAATCAGGCACATCAAATCACCTCTCAAAGAAAGATTCCCCCAGGCACTTCCAAGCCATTAAATGCTAATCAAGGTGGTCAGTTGAAACATTCACACCTATTTATTTATTTATTTATTGCAGTTACTTATACCCCGCCCTTCTCACCCCCGAGGGGGGACTCAGGGCGGCTTACAAACAAAGGCACAAATTCGATGCCTGTCAAAATATACAGCATATATAAAACAGTATAAACATTTAACAAAATTAAAACACATCACTACATAATATAGTAAAACAATTTCATGCACAGTGATTCAGAGTTCTGAGATGTCCATTCGTTCCAACAATTCCTGCTCATCAATGGGTCCTTATTTTAGCTGCCAGAATCTCGAAAAAGCTTGGTCCCAAATCCAGGTCTTCAGTTTTTTCCTGAACAACAGGAGGGAGGTCGCTGATCTGATCTCCCCGGGGAGTGAGTTCCATAGGTGAGGGGCCACCACCGAGAAGGCCCTGCTCCTTGTCCCCGCCAGCCTCACTTGAGATAGAGGCGGGGTCGAGAGCAGGGCCTCCCCAGATGATCTTAAACTCCGGTGGGACGTAGAGGGAGATCCGTTCGGACAGATACACTGGGCCAGAGTCACACCTAGCTCCAATAGACAAGAGTTCTTTGTCCCACCCTGGTCATTCCACAGATATATAAAACCCCTTTTCCTAATTCCAACAGACCTCACTATCTCTGAGGATGCTTGCCATCGATGCAGGCAAAACGTCAGGAGAGAATGCCCCTAGAACATGGCCATATAGCCTGGAAAAACCTACAACAACCCAGTGATTCCGGCCATGAAAGCCTTCGACAATACAAAAGGTTGCAAGTTCGAAGCCCCAGGTTGGCGTGAGCTGCCAACTGTCAGCCTAGCTCATTGTTTACCTAAGCAATTCGAAAACAGCTTTAGCTGTGATTAGAGAAATTAGGTACCGCTAAAAAAGCAGGGGAGGTGTTTTACGACGCCATCAAAAAGGAAGATCAGAGAATGCTGGGCGACCAAAAGGAAGGAGGAAGTTCTGGAGGCTCTTCGTCATAGAGGAAAGAGCAACAGCACCCTGTGGACTCGAGCCCAACCTTCCATGGCACCTCCTTCTGTTCTGCCTGTCTGTGTATTGTCTATACAAAGCGGCATTGAATGTTTGCCGTGTATGTGTAGTGTGATTCACCCTGAGTCCTCTTCGGAATATAACTAAAGTGTTATTATTATTATTATTATTATTATTATTACAGGAGCAGGATTCAAAACGATCTTGACAGATTAGAGAGATGAATGGCCAAAACTAACAAAATGAAGTTCAACAGTGACAAATGCAAGATACTCCACTTTGGCAGGAAAAACGAAATGCAAAGAGACAGAATGGGGGACAATGCCTGGCTCGAGAGCAGGACGTGTGAAAAAGATCTTGGAGTCCTCGTGGACAACAAGTTAAACATGAGCCAGGAATGTGATGTGGCAGCAAAAAAAGCCAATGGGATTTTGGCCTGCATCAAGAGGAGCATAGTGTCTAGATCTAGGGAAGTAATGCTACCCCTCTATTCCGCTTTGGTTAGACCACACCTGGAATATTGTGTCCAATTCTGGGCACCACAATTCAAGAGAGATATTGACAAGCTGGAAGGTGTCCAGAGGAGGGCGACTAAAATGATCAAGGGTCTGGAGAACAAGCCCTATGAGGAGCGGCTTAAGGAGCTGGGCATGTTTAGCCTGAAGAAGAGAAGGCTGAGAGGAGATATGATAGCTCTCAGATAAATATGTGAGGGGAAGTCATAGGGAGGAGGAGCAAGCTTGTTTTCTGCTTCCCTGGAGACTAGGAAGCGGAACAATGGCTTCAAACTGCAAGAGAGGAGATTCCATCTGAACATGAGGAAGAACTTCCTGACTGTGAGAGCTGTTCAGCAGTGGAACTCTCTGCCCCAGAGTGTGGTGGAAGCTCCCTCTTTGGAAGCTTTTAAACAGAGGCTGGATGGCCATCTGTCAGGGGAGTAGAGGTATACAAGTTAAATAAATAAATAAAATAAATGTAATAATAATAATAATACTACTATTAATAATATCATAAAATAATACATATAATAACAATAATAAATAGAGTAAAATAATAAATGCAATAATAATAATAAAGAGTAAAATTCTAAATGTAATAAAAATAATAACAGGAAAATAATAAATAACCTTGACTTGAGAATAAGCCGAGGGGGACTTTTTCAGCCTAAAAAAGGACTGAAGAACTAGGCTTATACTGGAGTATATACAGTATTTAAATGTCTAAGTTTTTTTTATTTTTGAGTTGTTCTATAAGTACGCTTGATGTTGTTTATTTTATTGTTTATGATTGGATTTGTTTGTTATGTTTTGCCGGCATTGAATGCTTGTCAATTTTCTGTTGTAAACTGTCCTGATTCCCCTTGGGGAGATAGGGCGGTATAAAAATAAAGTTTATTATTATTATTATTATTATTATTATTATTATTATTATTTTCCCTGTTTTGTGGTAAAATTAGATGCCTCGGTTTATATTCGGGTCGGCTTATACTTGAGTATATGCGGTAAATAAATAGGAGTTGTAAACCGGCGGTGGCCTGTATGTGCGTTTGGTGGGGACGCGAGACAGGGTCTTTTCTGTGGTGGCCCCCCCGACTCTGGGACACCCTCCCCAAATATCTTAGACAGGCCCCTACATTGGCAGTCTTCAGAAAGAACTTGAAGACCTGGCTGTTCCGATGTGCCTTCCCAGATTAGGAAAACTCCAACAAGTCCCAGAAGCACTTTATTAGAAATTAAGATTGCTGCACACTGCACTTACCCTATAATCCTTACATATCACCTGTCACATCAGCACTTTTAATCTGTACCCATTACTCTGGCCTGGCCCAGTTTTATTGTGTCCTGGTGTATTGTTTTATTGTTGTTTAATATTGCTTTAACTGTTTTTAATTTGCTTTAGGTTTTTATTATTATTATTATTATTATTAAACTTTATTTGTACCCCGCTAGCATCTCCCGAAGGACTCGATGCAGCTTACAAGGGCCAAGGCCTCAACACAGCATAGCAATACAAAACCAAAGCAAATTAAAAACAGTTAAAGCAATATTTAAACTATCGACTGCCAATGTAGGGGCTTGTCTAAGAAGTTGCAGGTTCGCAGCTTGGGAGTGATCCTGGACTCATCGCTGAGCCTGGAACCCCAGGTCTCAGCGGTGGCCGGGAGAGCTTTTGCACAATTAAAACTTGTGCACCAGTTGCGCCCGTACCTCGGGAAGTCTGATCTGGCCACAGTGGTCCACACTCTTGTTATAGACTACTGCAACACACTCTATGTGGGGTTGTCCTTGAAGACTGTTCGGAAACTTCAACTGGTCCAACGAGCGGCAGCCAGATTGATCACCGGAGCGACATACAGGGAACACACCACCCCCTTGTTGTGTCAGCTCCACTGGCTGCCGATTCAGTTCCGAGCACAATTCAAGGTGCTGGTTTTAACCTACAAAACCCTTTACGGTTCCAGTCCAGCGTATCTGTCCAAACGTATCTCCCTCTACGTCCCATCCCGGAATTTGAGATCATCTGGGGAGGCTCTGCTCTCGACCCCACCGCTATCATAAGTGAGGCTGGTGGGGACAAAGAGCAGGGCCTTCTCAGTGGTGGCCCCCCACCTGTGGAACTCACTCCCGGGGGAAATCAGGGCATCTACATCCCTCCTTGCCTTCAGGAGGAAGGTAAAGACGTGGCTATGGGACCAGGCCTTTGGGCATCCTGACAATTAGATATGGAAACCAGATGGATAGGACCGACAATGTGCGGAAAGTAGAACCTAAACTATGAGTCTGTTAAACGCTGACCAGCAATGAGGTTTGTATTGTTTTTGTTTTATTGCTTTTACGGGTTTTATGGTTGTTTTATCGATAATAATTATTGCTTATGTTAATTGTCATCAGTTATAATTGGTCGTTAACTAATGTTGTGTTTTTTGTTGTCATGTAATGCGGGCATTGAACTGTGCCTTGCTTGTGTAAGCCGCCCTGAGTCCCCCCCCCCCCCGGGGTGAGAAGGGCGGGGTATAAGCGACCGTAATAAATAAATAAATAAATAATAAATTTTGGGAGGGTGTTCCAGAGTCGGGGGGCCACCACAGAAAAGGCCCTATCTCGTGTCCCCACCAAACGCGCCTGCGACGCAGGTGGTTTTGTATTGTTATGTTGTGCTTTGAGGCCTTGGCCTTTGTAAGCCGCATCGAGTCCTTCGGGAGATGCTAGCGGGGTAGAAATAAAGTTAATAATAATAATAATACTCCATTGCAAGACCTTTCCCTCTTCACCTTTGGAGACGTGGCCCTTGCTGTAGCAGAGGGCCACCCCTGCCGCAGTTGCCGCAGCCGCCGTGGCAGTGAAAGCGGGCATCCTGGCCCGGCGTCCCCGGTTCTCCCGTCCGCGGTGCCTCCCGGCGTGCTCGGGGTTGGGCCACAAGCGCAGCCGGCTGGGCTCCTTGGGCAGGCCCGGGTGGTGATGGGCATGGTGGTGGCGCCCGGGGTGCCGGTGGTGCTGGTGTGGGTGGCCCTTGGCGGACTCCTCTTCCGAGCAGGGCAGCTTGGGAAGCCACCCTCCTTCGGTGGCCAACCTCTTGCCCAGAGTGGCCACTCCACTGGAAGCTTTGCCGCCCCGGTTGGCCAGCTGCAGCCCTTGCAAGCCCAAGTGGAGCGCCTCCTGGCTCTCTCCAAGAGCCCTGACAACCAAAGGAGGACATTGTTGTTGTTGCTCCTCTTGGGTGAACAACTGCGCATGCTCAAAACGAGTCAAAGGATATTGCTGCTGCTGCTCCTCCAAAGTGAGCGACTGCGCATGCTCAAAACGACTAGCCTTGGCGGCCAAAGGATATTGCTGCTGCTGATCCAAAGTGAGCGAGTGCGCATGCTCAAAACGACTGGCTTTGGCAGCCAAAGGATATTGCTGCTGCTGCTCCTCCAAAGTGAGCGACTGCGCATGCTCAAATCGACTAGCCTTGGCAGCCAAAGGATATTGCTGCTGCTGCTCCTCCAAAGTGAGGGAGTGCGCATGCTCAAAGCGGCGCGCCCTAGCGGCCGGGTCCGGGTACTGCGCCTCCTCCCGGCCCGTTCTCCACGAAGCCACCGAAGCGGCGTCCGTCCATTCCTCCGCCTCCCGCGCCGAGGCTCCGCGAAGGAGCGGCGGGCACCTCCGCCTCCGCGCCGTCGCCCCGACGAGCCGCGCGAAGCCCGGCGGCAGCGGCCTGCTCATCAGGCAAGCCAGCATGGCGGTGGTGGTCGGCGCCGGCAGCTAGGCCTCACTGGGCCCTCCGCCCGTCACCTGGGAAACCAAGATGGCCGCTATGAGGGGGAGCTTGCGTACGTCGAGTACGCACGCACGCCGGCCGAAAGGCTTCATGGGAGTTGGAGTCCTGGGTGGGTTCAAAGCAGGCCTTTTTTTCCTCCTGGGCGGTGAGGCGGGGCTGCGTCTTGCGCATGCGTCACAACGAAGCGGAAGTAGAGCTCCGGCCTGAAGGTTGCGAGTTCGAATCCCGGTGAGGACCAAAAGAAATTGAGATGCTAAATTGGAGAGAATTTTAGATTTTTTCCCCCCATTTCGTTTGGAAATATTTTATTTGTTTGTTTACGACATTTATATGCCGCCTTTCTCAAGATATATATACATACATACCATATATTAAATTATTTACATAGTGCAATATCAGTATATATTACTATATTATATTATATATTATAATATAATATATGTTATAATATTATATTATATAATAAGTATTATATATTACTATTGTAATATTATTATAC